GTGTGTGTGTGTGTGTGTGTGTGTGTGTTTTTTGGGAGTGTGAGCACATATGGAGAAGGCACTGCAGCACTTTGCATATGTCTGGGAGGGTGCCCACAAAGGACATGGGCCTAAATGAGCTCATGTACGCACCGGTGTACGTGTGCTCATTCTTACTGTGTGTTGCTATGCTGGTTTAGGACAAAAATATCAATATATCTAGTTGCTATATAAAACTGCATCAAAGGTACCAATACACCTTGCTCCCATGTGGACTTCAGTAAACTACCATAAAGTGCCTCCTCGAGTTGACACACCACCAGAAGCTGTGTGTATTTGCTTTCCATGCAGGTTATGAAACACAAATTCACGCACACACATATATACAGCCCTGTGTTTCCGCATCCTCCTGGGACATATGTGTTCACCTGGCAGTCTCTCTCTTTAGCTGAATAAAAGATGAGGCCGAGGCTTTTATATGCCATTAAAACATGCGGCTGGGGGGGTGCATTATGCCAGGTGGGGGCTACCTGAACCACTACATCCATCCATATCACTCGTTCATCTGCCCCTCTCACTATCCATCTAGCCTGCTTTCAAGAAAAAGTAAACAGGCGATCTTCCTTTTTCTTCTCAATGGAGGATCCATCCGGTCTGCCGTCCATTCTTACCCCCTAATCGCTTTCATCCTGGCCTGTTTTTTATGAAAGAAGAGAGGGAGCACCTGCTTTCCTCCTGAATAATCCATAATCAATTTCACGGTGAGTCAGACAGACAGAAAACAAGTGAATGGAGAGCTGGACGTATAAATGCATACGCCGCCCTTCTCGCTCGCGCTTTTCCGGCCTCAGCATGTGAGCTTTCCTCATAATCAGCACTTTTCTGTTGTCCAACAAGCATGTTTGTGTGTTTCTGCAAGTCAAGTCTGCAGGCAAGAGCTTTTAACCCTTTCAACCTCAGAGTGTTTTGCTCAGTTTTCACTCCCTTTATTTACAGGCCTGTGACAAATATTACTACATGACTTAGGTAAGCAGTTATAAGTCAGGCTACGAAGAAAGGCCATCTGTGAGTGGTACTGTTCACTAAAACAGCATGTTTTACATTGGCCACTTTCATGTGTGTGTGGTCAATATGAATCTCTGGCCTGCAGCAGTTATAACTTAATTAGGCTGCATCAAAGTTCACACACTCATAGACATCAGCCCTCGAAATATGTCCACATTTCAGTTTAGAAAGTGATAAAAAATTCTTGCACTAAAAACTAGATCAGCCTGACCTTTTCTGCTTCCTGATGAATAAACAAACCAAACAACGAACAAATGGACAGGGTTGAAAACACGACCTCCACAAAGAGAGAGAAGATTCCTAGATCCACTAATTTATATGGATCAACTCCAAAATTAAACAGATTTTTTTTTGAGTTATGCTCGACCCCTCTACAAAATTTCATGGAAATCAGTTCAGTCCTTTTTTCATAATCCCACAACCAAACGCAGAGGTTTACATTTTGTAGTGTCAATTGTACACTTCTCATTCCGAGCCTTTTCTCGTTACATGGCAGCAACCCTTTTTTTTTTTTTACTTTCCCCTGTCTGATCAATTTAAATAAAGATTGGGGACAGAGGAGAACTGAGAAGAGTGGAGGCCTCTCCAGGTTGGTCAGCATAAAGTCTGACATACCATCCGGGCAAGAAAGTATCAAAGCAGTGAGTTAAGCATGGCAGTGGTCACAAGATATCATCATCAGACTCATGTCTTCAGGTTAACTGTCACACACGAGAAGTGAGGACAGAGGAAAGAGAGGAAAAGAGGAGTGGAGTGAACCGGCCGCTGTCATCTCCTCCCGTCCTTGGACATGAGTACCTGTCACTTCTCCTTTTCTTTCTCCCCCGACACCATCTGCCTCTCTATCTCTCCGTGTCGTTGACTCTCTAAAGGTAGTTTGTCGGCTGTGAGGTGATGACGAGTTGTTTTATGAAAACAGAAGCAAGAGCAAGAAAATGTCCATTTTATGAGGCAAGACGAGCTGTGATGTCATCCACACTTTTTTTTAATATCCTTTCTCATCTTGGCTCACATCCCACCAATTAACAGCTGGGGTGAAAATAGAGTAAATGAGAGACTCAATTACAGAATTGTGGCAGTGCTTGCACTCTATTACATCTCTTTTACACCAAAACTTGCAGGTATAAATGTTTTAATGCAGCAAAACCCGCTAGAAAGCGGGATTAAGACTCTTTCCCCCATTGTCATTAGGTGTTGCCTCTGTTGCAAAATTGACGCGTTCACCCTGGTGTTATGTTCCTATCACTGCAGATCGCAGCCAATTAAAACCTGCGTCTACTGCAGAGTCGTTTGACAGGGGAGTGAATGCCAATGCCTATTCCCATTATGGACAAATGTCAGATATTTGTGGGTTTTTTGACCAGTAGTAAAGAGCCTTTAAAAAGAGAGAGATGCATTAAAGAAAAAGTGAAATGGATCAAATTAAATAAATATGGTGAGGAGAGGGGAGACAGCAAAGAGGGAAAGCAGAGTCGACAAGGAGGCCTTTAAATCTCTCATCACCTAAATCACACAAGCCTAAAAACACTCCCTTCCCTTTTTTTTCTTGCGCCGCCATGTCAGAAGTGATAAGAACGTGTTACGTCGCGAGAGCTGACAAGCGGTGACTTGCTGGCGGCAGGTGGGAAGTTTGGCCCAGCATATGCTTCTGCTAAACCCGCCAAATCCACACCTCATCAAAATGCAATGGGAGTTTTTTTTTTTTTTCTGCCCTCCTCATCCCTCCCCCCATACCTCTCCTCCAATTCCAAGGCTCTGGCCTCTCTGCCCGCTAGTGACACCTGTGGACAAAAAGTGACACGGCGCTTAATATTTCATGGGCCGTGCACAGTGGGGCGCGTAATCCAAAGTGAATTCCCTCAGAGCGCTTGCATTTACATGAAATCAAGTCACTCTGCATCAGTCACATCACCTGCACTGCCCCCGACCTCCCCCCGCACACAATATACACACACACACAAACACACCTCCAGCAGCCAATGAGTATAGAAAGCAGGAAGGAGAAAGAGAGAGGAGGGAGAAAAAAGAGGCTGCATCATTCATGAGGGTTAAGGCTAACACCATCGGAAGCGAAGCGGGTGTGTAAACGAAAGAGAAGTTTCTCCACTTTCCTTCCTTCCGTTCTTTTTCCCCACACTGTGATATCTAAATGGAATCCATCTAATGTGTTTGTGTGGCTTTGAGACTGAAGATTTAAAGTCTGGGTGTGTGTCTCCGCATTTGTGTGGTTGTGCAAGTCTAAACTCATGTCTCATCGTCTTCTTCATGACAGGCACTGAGGCATCTCACTATTTAAACTGAGAATCTGTCTCAACCGCACAGAGAAGTCAATCTGCAGCGTTGTCACACTCGTCTAACCAGCTTCTCCCCCCTGCCAGCTCAAATGCTGTCAATTAGCTGACAGGAGGAAAATACATCATTTATTAATATCTCTAAAAAACCCCAAAGAGAGAGCCGGAGCTCAGAATAAATAAAGCACTTAAAAGCCAAGACGCTGCTGAACGCATTTGACAGGGTCGCTAATGAGTGGTGAATTCTGACAAGTCTCCAAATGCAGACCATCGGTCACTGACACGATTTCTACCACAAGCACGTCACTAACAAAATTTCAAGAAAATAACCATTTGCCTTCAGAGATGAAAACTGGGAACAAAAGTATTCTCTTTAACTTCACCTGCTGAGACATAAAAATGTTCAGAAGAAGAAAAACCACACAACGATCAGTGTCTGAAGAAAGTAAAAAGCTCAATGTCCTGTTGAATTAAGATTCAACACATTGTGCTCTCACTGTCAAAAACAAGTCAGTTTAATTCATGGTTTTAGTTATTTGCAGTGAGTATAATTTAATTCAATTCTTAAAAGAAGAGCTAGACACAAACATGGGTGCTATGGGTCATCAAGTGTAGTTTAAAAGGGTTGAACACAGACCAGCTGCATCTTTGGAAATGAATATTGAGGACAGAGTTTGGTTAGATAAAATAGATTTGAAGTAAGCTACTGGAGCAAAATGACCTCCGACCCCTCAGCCTCAGGCAAGTATGTGCTCTCATGTATGTGTCTATACATGTGGAGAGCCCCCCAGTCATCCTAACGAGAAGGCTTAGGTGCCCCCGCCACGGGGCAAAGGTCACCAGATCAACCATCCATACACGATGTGCACCACTTTTCAGCTTCTGCAAAGGTGGTACACTGGCGGCTGTTTGGAACATTTACTGTTTAAAATTCCATGGATGACAGAGGTGCATTATGGGCAATTAATGTCTTCTAAGTAGATCATCCCTATCATCCATAAGAAGTTGCTGCCATCATTTAGATAAAGAAAATAAAGCCTCTGTGAAGGTCACAAGTGTTTGCAGATCATGAGGAGAAGTATAAAATATGACCTTCATGTCAGAGTGAACTTTCCCAAAGTCTGAGTCTTTTTGGTGCAGAGCTCGTCTGCTGTGAGTGGCTGACGTTGAGACTTCTTCTTAACTTGGTGATCTATTCCGAGATCTCTCCAGAGAGACTTGGATATGTGTGTATTTCTGAGTAAGTGTGTATGCACGTGTTTGTTTCATCTCTTCCAGCTTCAACTTTCTCACTCGGGGATCAGACTTCTTTGCCCTCGACTGCCCCAGCTCAGTGAAATCTGTCCCAGCTGGACCACTCTGTGAGACATTAATATTTGAGGGAAACTCTCCTTTTAAAAGCCCTTTCTGGTACAGAGGACAGAGAATGTCATGAACCCCACTGCGCAACAAAAATAACACACATTCATACACAGCTAATATCATGCTCCCCCAAAAAATACTCTCCCCTGGTCAGACTGGATGCACAAAGAGCTTGTGCACGTTTCCTTCATATTTGGGGCGTCACAGCTTTACAAGGTCGTCATGACAAATCAACTTTAGATTCAGATTCTCCAAGCTACTGTTATGCAAATAGTTGCATAATTCAATGACTAGTCAACACAGTCTGTGTTTGTGTGTGTTTGTACCAGCAGAGTTGTTGTCCTTCGAATTCTGAATGAAGAGGGGGAAGAAATAGTGTGGCCTTATGGGAAAGCCTTGCTCCTTCAATATCTTCATCAGCTCTAGAGACAAACCTGGAAGAAAAACAAAAGACTGATTTAATATAATTTGCAGCTTAACATCTGTCAAGAGGTTAATGCATAATATTGCACTCAAAATACAGTATATCAAATAGGGCTGTGTGAAATCACCAAAATTTCATATTGTTATTTGTTATATCGCACAGCAATTGATAAATAGCTATTGATATTGTTGTCCCTCTCCAAGACAAGTCATGAAAGCATGTGCCATACCAGTCTTCTTGGCCTCCAGAGCACAGTGCAGAGAGAAGGTGAGCGGGGCAAAGTGCCGCTTTGTCTCCTGGAGCTCTTTACAGTATTTAGTGAGCTTCTCCACTGACTGTAGCACACAGAAAGAGACAAGAAACATGTATCTAAACATCTGAATTCAAACTCAACATACATTTCAAGTGTTCAACGCTGGCATGTATTGACTCTTTAAAAAATCAATGTTAGGGAGAAGTGAGAGAATGTTTTTATCTACCGTGTCCATGTTGACACAGTGTCTGAGGAAGAAGTTGCCCATGTTTGAGGAATCAGAGTTGAAATTATCAGGCTCCAGTGTGGAGAAACTCTTCAGGATGTGAAAAGACGTTTCTTCCTGGCCCTGCGTGATCAGGCTCAGACACAGGTTCATAGCATCTGCAATAAAAACAAATGGACATTCTTCTCAGCCTCATATCACTGTCAATACGACTGTTACCAAATCTGGTTCTTCAGCCTATCTCAATTTCATCAAGCAAGTGTATACAACAGATTAAAAAAGTCAGTCTTTTGGAGTGATATTATTTCAGCTGCTGAGTTTTGTGTACCTGGCACATAACCCCTCTCGTGCCTTAAGCGCTCAACCATGTCTGGGATGTGCTCCTGGTGTCCGGCCCTGGCCAAAGTGAAGATGACCTGCATGATGTCCCTGTCCATCAGACTGCAGTCTGCACTCTCTGCTTCATCCATGGCCTGATAAAGAAAGACAGGAGTGTGAGGAGTGTTTGAGAGGACAGATTAAGAAGGAAACCATTCATCAGACACAAACTTACACATGTACTAAATGTTCATCAGTATTGTTTTGAAAACCACACACACCTTCTTCAGACTGTCCAGGTCTCCCTTTTCAGCGTAGGCATTAAGCAGTGATACATAAGTGTCAGGACCTGGTTCAATTCCCGCTCCTCGCATCACAGGCAGGATGTTCTTAGCACTCTCGATGTCACTGCACAGCAATTAGGTTTACAGCTTGTTAAAATCACTCCAGCACAACACTTATTATGTCCCATTAAATATTATAGTGACACTCACCCTGCTCGAGCGTGGCCTGTCACCAGAGAGTTGAAAACTGCCTCAGTGATGGGCAAATCTCTGGTCTTCATGAAACCCAGTATGGTGCTGAGGAAGAAGAGAAGATGTGGGAAATGGGGAAAAGACAAGAATGTAAAAATACAATATCTTTCTGATGAAAAAGACTAATGGTCAGTACTACACTGTAATATTCTGGGGAAGAAAATATATACATAATATACTGTATCTTACAAAATACAAGCATATTACATATTCAATTCCGCAAACTGTGTCCCATCAGAACATGAACTCTATTGGCTGGATGCTCACCTGGCTCCCTCGATATCCCCATTTTGGCAATAGGCTGCTATGAGTCTCTGGTAGGTAACCTGGAAAAAAAACAGAACGACCAGAATCAACACCTTGGGATTGTATGTCTCAACCGACCAGTTTACATCCAGGTTTTTCTGGACTCATAATATATGTAATGCAGATTGTGCAGCTAAAAAGATTGAATTAAGTGTGTTTTGTGAAATCACAGTCGTTGACCAACAAGGTCAAAGACAAAATTTTACTGGGAGGCGTAAACATCCAACAGCGTGAAATCATCTTAAATCACCATATGGGCATCTGTATGTATTTCCACTGTCACTGCGGTGATTGATAGTTCTACTTCCACCTTGCAGGACTTACTCTGTTGGGCTGGACATTAGCTGCTTCCATCTTGGCCAGGAAGTCAGTGGGAGAGAACTTGAACTCATTCTGCAGGTAAACCTTCAGCAGGGCGTTGTAGTGACTAACATCAAACTGTGCACCTGAGGAGGAAAATGCAAAAATCTTAAAATATTACAATGAAACTACAACTTCTACTCTCAAAACAATGATTAAATACTTGATGATATGACGATTGAGTTGTTGCCATTGATGCTGTCACTTACCCAGCTCCTGCAGCTTCTCCCACACCCGGTGTGCCAGCACAGTGCGTTCCTCCAGAGGCACCTCTGGCAGCAGCGACCCACAGCTACGCAGCAGCAACAAGGCCTGGTTACTACTGGGATAACCTTTGAACCAACAGGAACAGAGGATGGATGGAGAGGGAGAAAGACAGGACTGTTTTTCACAGTTTAGCATAGATTGTATATTCCTGATATCACACAGCTAGCTACATTTTCTGGGATAAGTTAGTTTGTTTGTTTCTCACAATCAGCTAATGTCCATCACCACCTACTGAGCTGGTTTATCAAGAGTTTTATAACATAACTAATGATGGTCTACCCCTTCATCTGACATCCATGTTTCCACCGGCCTGTTGTTCGGCCTGCCTACCTGTCCTGCAGATGTCATGGAAGATGCGGAGCAGCAGCGTCTTGGTGATGCGGCCTGTCCTCCTCACGGAGCTGTCCAGCTTGGCCAGAGCCCAGTCGAACTGCTGAGCCTGCTTGGACCGCACCATAACACTGCCATCTTCCTTCTCGTCTGTAGCCAGAGAATAGCCACGCAAAGACCCCGCCGTATACGGCCACACGCGACTGTAGAGGAGATCACAAAATGACAGAGATGAAGGGAGTTTTAGAGCAGAGAGGGATGTAGCTGTATGAGTGGGAGAGTGTGGGGTGATGGGAGGGAGGAGAAAAGATTGAGCTTGTTTGCATGTTTGAGCTTGATGCCTGCAAAAACTCCCACCTTCATCAAGGTTAAAACGTTTAGTAGGTGTTAAAAGTGCTGATGCAACTTAATGGTCATTTTAGAGGATGTAGTTTCTGTTACTTATTAACTGGCGGTGATATAAATCAAACCCTGAATATGCCAGATTTTCATTCATCACGGTCCACAAGTTGTTCCCTGGGAAATCTGTGAAAATCTTGCAATGTTATAGAAATTGATATAAACGTCGTGGATCCACATCAAAATCCTTCCACCAAGTTTCATGGTAATCTGTCCAGTAGTTTAAGCTTAATCATGCTTGTAATCAAACAAACTGAGTATTATTGTCTTCATGTAGTGAGAATTTCTTGCAACCCTGGTGTAATAGGCTGCACTAATAATCCACTAGATGTAGATACACGTGGATGCACAGCAGCTTTGGATGCTTTAACATTTGAAATGCTGCTTCAGGAGCCATGACCTTGAGTTAAATCTGCTCCCAGAGAGTGAACCACAACAGCACTCAGGCCTCTGCGTCATCAAGAGGCCTGAGATCATCTACTGACACTTACTGATTTAATGCTGGTCACTGGATTTGATAAGAACATCTTTTGTAGCTGTAGCCTGACAGAATGAATGGCTGTACTTCAATGATGAGCCTCTTGCTAAGAGTAAGCATTTACTTTAAGCCAACACAGCGTAGCTACAGATGAGGGGCTGCTAACAGTTACACCAGTGAAATAAGTCCATAACTATGGTGTAAGATATGAAGTTTGAAGATTGAGTGGATACAGATATATATAACCTCTGATCATCACCTTATGTAAAGGGGAGGCCATGTTTATTTCAAGCTAAAGCTAAAAAATGCTAGCAGGAAACTGAGTCTAACATGATGCTACACGTGTCGGAACAGTATACGTGATGCTACAGGTTATACCACTGTAAACACATGTGTGAAGCTGGACTGTCATTGAGCCTCAATGACAGTCCAGCTTCACATGTGGCTAGCAGCAGCTACACCGGCTAACAGGCTGCGTGATACCTGATGGAGACGCTATCCCGCGCAGGGCGGGTGAGACGGGAACATGCTCCGGTTCTGCTTCCGCCGAGAGCCCCGCTGTACAGGCGGCCGAGCGGCGGCCCGGTTCTGTTCGTCCCCGCGATGTTAAGCAAGCCCGAAGGCGAGAGTCTGAGTAACCGGGCTGATCTCAAGAGGGCAGCCATGTTTTCCTGTAGCGGCGTGTGGAAGGGCATCCGCACCACGTGACACCAAGTATCGCGAGAACAGCGGCTGAGCGCGTGAACAGTGTGACCCATGTGTGTTTTATTTATTTATTATCAGTGATAGTGATGTTAGAGAGACTTTAAAATATTCCTGGATCTGCACAGAAAATTTAATGGGATTTTCCTTGACCAGTATCACATCCTTCCACCGAATTTCATCGTTATCCATCATGTGTTTTTTGTGTGATCCTGCTCTGACACAGACAAATACACTACAACTCCTTGCCACAGGTAAAAAAGACTCCATTGTGCTTCTTCCACAGGAGACTGATCTTACAAGAAATTAACTCTATTGTAATTCAATCTATATAAAACTTCTTCACACAATAATAAATTACATTTTCTTAAATTAATTCAAATTCTATTTATATAAAACGAATAAAAGCACAAACGCTACCTTGTTAATTTTTTTCTTTTCTAGAAATTTAGTGTGTATCTGTTTTGTTTGCGAAACATTAAAAAATATGATTTTTTATAGTTGTGAGGGTGTTTTCCACTTATGACAGGTTTAAATGAGGAGAGTGGGGAGGACACACAGCAAAGGATCAGGATGAAACAGAACCTGCTGCTTTACGAGTGCTCAAGCCTCCATATTATACATTTTAAAATGTTAAAAAAAATATATTGATCTATTAAGAACAGACCAGCAATGACGTTTCACAGGTTGAATTTCACAGTGAGAATTTAATATATTCATTTATTATCATGTATTTTCATTTCAATACAAACATCCAACATTTTCAACTAAGTGTTTATTAGCTCAGTTCTTCAATCAACTCCCTTTTTCCTCTCTTCTTCCCTTTCTTCAAGTTCTCCTCAACTACAGTCTTTGCTTTCTCCAGGCTGCTCCTTGCACTCTGTCTTTTACTGTGTTCATTCCATGACTCAACAGCCAGTCTTTGAATCTGGGGTGCATTGTCCAACACCCAAGCTTGAAAGAATTCACACTTCTTGCTTGCCAGGAAGTACTTCTGCCTCCTTTCCCCTTCCTCTCCCTCTTTAGAAAGGGCAGTTTTGGCCTGGGAGAGAACTGAGCGAAGCTGACTCAAGGCTGCCAGACAGTATCCTGTAGCATCTTTTCTGTCTCTGCCAGTCATGATGTGAGCAACGGCTTCCACTGCCCTAGTCGGGGCCAGTGGATCCTCCTTGTCCAGGTACCCTCCACCCAAAATGAGAGTTTCAACACATCCTAAGGCCTCTTGGAGAGAGTTGAACACCCTGTTTGAGTTCAGTGCCTCTGACAGAGTGAGGATCATGTCACAAAACTCAAACATCAGTGAATCAGTGTCACCGTTAAAGAAGCACAGACTGAAAGTATAGCCATAAAGTGCATTGGTCAAACCATAGCATATCAGGGGAGATGGATTTGCACATAACAAACTCAATTTTGGAATTTTTTTAGAAACTGGAGGCACAGTGGGAACAGTTGAACTTCCCTTGTTCTTGCTTGTTTTCTCAGTGTGTCTCTCTTTAATCTTTTTTGCTTTTTTACCCTGAACCACTTCTTGTGACACCTTGACTTTATTACAAACAACCTGTTCATCTACAGTTGCTGAATTTTCACTTTCCAATTTGCTCACTTCCTCCACCAGAGCTCTACCTCCTCCTTCATGCTCCTCCCACCACGGTCTCCACAGGGGAACGAGTTTTCCCAGAGCTCCAGACTTCATCATGTCCATAAACATCTCTTTCTCTTTGCCGTTGAGAACTTCCCACAGCTCCTCTTCTGAAAGTTTGTCCAAATCCATCCCAGAGAGTCGTTCGGCTAAGTCCAGCCCCCCTTCTGCACTTTCAGCATCTTCATCTAAGTCCCCAGGCAGCGTCTCTCCATCTCCAATCTCTCCAAGTTTTCTCAAAATATCCTCAATCTCGGTTGCACTCCCCTCTCCAGACTGTTGGAGCTCTGCTAACCTGGACAAGAGCTCCACAACTTGTACTTTCTCTGCTGCCTCTTCTCCTTCATCTACGTCATCTGACACAATACCTGCTTCTTTTAACAAACCTTCCATCCCCCCACCAGTTCTCTCTGCCTTTTGTCTGAGGCCCAAAAGAATCTCCTGCATTTTCTTTCTCTGCTCGCCTTCTGTTTTCCCTATATCCTTCAGTTCCTCGAGAACAGACTCCTTGTAAAATGCTTCAGAGCAGACGGAGTGATCTGGGCTCTGGTAGCAAGCCAAGCCACAATAACGCAGGTTACACCGAGGACAGGTGTAGCAAGAGGGTTTACATTTACACAACATGCAGATGGCATTGATCCCAGTGTAACTCCCATCCTCTGTAGACTCCTCTCCCTCTGCCTTGGCTGGAACGAGAAACTCCTCTGGTCCAGAGTCAGCTCCTCTGGACGGGAGCAGAATCCCATCTCTGGTCACTCCCTCAGGCTCTGCGTCAGTCCACTCCTCCTTCGGGCCGATGTCTGTCAAAAGACTCCTCACAGACGGAGGAAGTCTCCGTCTAATTAATGGATTCATTGGTGGTTGAAATGAGCCAAAGAATGAAGGCGGAGCAAAGGAAGATAACTGTCTGAAGCAGGTCACCTAAGTAGCAAACAAATAATAAAAGATGTTAGCACAATGTTTTTAACACTGTTAAAATAAATCCGACATTTAAATCAGCTGCTGATTCGGTGTTTCAGGGGAAAGTAAAAAAATGTAAATAGCAACACAGAGGAACAGATTCTGCAGTTATTAAAAATTGTATTGACAGTTTTGTTGATGTATTTAATTAAACCATC